CACAAGTACGCAATAGCAACAAAGACTGTTGCAGGAGGCACAGAACCGATTTCAGGGCGGGGACGAATTGGTGAGAGACTACGTGTCCAACCTAGTAGCTCTTGTCAATTGATTGGAACCACCAATGCCCTTGGAACGGTTATTAGACCTACTCCATGTAAACCTTTCTTCCAAACATCCAGATACAGCTGCGTCGGAGCAGGTTGACGTCAATACGCGAGTTTAACAGGAGGGCAACCGAAGTACAAAAGACTTTGTCTTACGGTCGTCGTCCACGCGTATTCACTGATCCAAATTCGACGATCTTTCTCGAGCACGCATACCTGCCGAGCAAAAGAACTGCTGGTAACAAATTCCAAACCACTGCAGTAGCCAGCGAAGGGAAGGTACGTGCGAAGGAGGGAGATCCGCAGCGCGGACAGGGCGTGGAGAACCCTGCCGGGAGGCCCACCGAGCAAGATGGAGGAGCGTCTGGTGGGCATCGAGAAAATCCTGCGCAAAATGGCCAAATAAAGGCAGGACAGCCCTCAAAAACAGCGCAAAAGCCGATGGCGGAAAAGAAGAAAGAATTCTCCTCCGTCGAGGTCTTCTAGCGAGCGGCTAGAAGGACAGAGGCGAAAGATCGACGAAGCCTCTCCAGTGTTCCGCTTGTGGTAAGCTGGGTTTCAGCTGTAAGTTTTGCCCAGATTGCAACAAGGCAAACGACAAGAACAGCGAAGAGAAGAAGTCATCTTCGTGCCTCCAGTAAATTTGACCTCTCGCCGCGGGTCGTCGACTGGAATGTGCAAGTTGTCGGCGACCCAGTGATCTAAACAGGTCCTGGTAGGGCATCAAGAGAGCTCAGAACCTAACGGTACAACGGAGCAGAAGGCGATTGAGCCCGATGCCAGCCCACGGCGGAATAGGGGTTAATCATCCTGGAAGGACCAGGTGGCCACATACAACTTGTGGAGGAGGGAGAAGACTCGATGGATATGAGGATCGAGCAACCCGCAGACCCAAAGACTTCGGGCCTCTCCACACAAAAAGCTCCCCTGCCGAAAGAATCCACGAGTATGAGCAAGCCCATCGTTATAGTAGCAGCGGAAGAGAAGAAGCCGCCGAGAAGCGCAACGAATGGAGGAAAGGATGCGACTCGTGGATACCACCCAGAGGATGAGACCAGATGGTGGTTGCGGGTAGATATAGGTGACTTTAAAGTTAGAGCACTCTATGATACCGGCACCTCATCCACAGTCATGGGTTAGTTAGGGCTAAGATTGGCATCGGAGATGGGACTCGAAATTAATGTGACCAGGGCGGGCGATGCAAGGCTCGCCGACGGGCGCCCATGCCCCATTATTGTTCACGTGATGTTCCCCTTTAAGGTAGGGTGAATCACAAGGGAAATTAGAGTCGCCATCACGCCGCTGCTCACGGATGACTGCTATGTTGGCGTGAACTTTATAAGAGAGTTCCGCGCAGTTTTGGATCCCGAAAAGTACCTATGGAAGTGGCGGGAATTGATGGTACGGCATTTCTCGCACCGATAGGACTGTGGGAGGCCACGCAAACACAGCTTGAGGAAATCGAAAACATCCTCAGAAGATTGATTACTGATGGAGAAGATGTTTTAGGCTGTGCCGTGGGGGTTGAGCACGAAATAGATTTTGGACGTGCTCGACCCATCAAACAGAAATACTACCCAGTTTATGAATGGGTGCGAGACGAAATATACGCGCTGGTCAAAGATATGCTGGAAAAAGATGTAATCGTACCAGCGACCAGCGGATGGTCAACTTCAGTGGTAATGGTAACGAACGCTGACGGAAAGTATAGGTTCTGCGTACATTACCAAAAGGTAAACGCAATAACCAAACGAGATGCATATACTTTGCCATATATGAACGACATCTTAAGACAGATAAGGGATGCAAAGTTCATATCCACGTTGGACTTGAGCAGTGCGTACCACCAGATTCCCCTAAAGGAAGAATGGCGTCCGATATCGGCGTTTACAGTACCTGGATTGAGGCACTTTCAACTTTTAATTTTTCGCTTTGGACTTTCATACGCAGGAGCGACCTTCCAGAGGTTAATGGACAATGTGATAGGCCCGGATATGGATCCATTTGTTTTTGCTTACCTCGACGACGTAATAGTCGTGTCGTCGTCATTCGAGGAGCATGAACGGTATATAGAAATGGTATTAAAGAGAATTCTAGGTGCAGGCCTAACCATCAAAAAAGCCAAAAGTGACTTCTGTAAGACGGAAGTAAGGTACTTGGGAGTTATCGTGAACCAGAACGGAGTAAGACCAGATCCCGAGAAACAGGTAAAGCGATTCATGGGAATTACGTCGGGGTATAGACGTTTTCTACCCGACTTTGCCATGATCGCTGAAGCTATAAACCACCTAACGAAAAAGAATGTACGTTTCTCTTGGGAGGAGAAGCACGAGTGAGCTTTTACGAGGTTGTAGGAGGCGATGACTTCCGCCCCAATACTGCGACCACCCAATCCTAGCGGTCTGTTTGTACTACAAACTGATGCCAGTGACTATGGGATCGGGATTTTCCCGGAGTCTTCCAAAAAGTTCGCAATAATGTCCCCATATAAGTTTTTGAAAATGTCCTCATAAAAAGTCCTCGAAAAAATCCTCGGAAAGGTTCCGCAAAAAATCTCGATAAAGTTCTCAAAAATGTTCCTGTAAAATCATCGAAAAAGTCCATGAAAAGTACTCAATAAATTCCACAGAAATGCCCTCGAAAAAGTCTTCGAGAAAATACTCAAAAAAATCCCGGCAAAAGTACTCAAACAAATCCCCGTATGAGTGCTCGTAATAGTCCTCGTCAAAGTCCTCTAAAATGTCATCGAAAAAGTCCTCGAAAATGTCCCCATAATAGTTCTCGTAAAAGTCTTCGAAAAAGACCTCGAAAAAGTCCTCGTAAAAGTCCTCAAAAAAGTCCCCGTATGAGTCATCGTAAAAGTCCTAAAAGAATGATCAAAGATGTCGCCGTAAAATTCCTCGAAAAGGTCCACAAAAATGTTCCCGTAAAAGTCCTGGTAAAAGACATCGCCACAGTCCTCGACGAAGTCCTCAAAAATATCCCCGTTACAGTACTCAAAAAAATCCCCGTATGAGTTCTTAAAAGACCTCGAAAAAGTCCTCAAAAAAGTCCCAGTATGAGTCATCGTAAAAGTCCTCAAAGAATGATCAAAAATGTCGCCGTAAATGTCCTCAAAAAAATCCTCAAAAATATCCCCGTATAAGTCATCGAAAAAGTACTCCTAATAGTTGTCGAAAAAATCGTCGGAAAGGTCCCCCAAAAAATCTACGAGAAAATCCGCTTAAAAGTCCCCGAAAAAATCCTTGTAAAAGTCCTCGAAAAAGGGCTCAAAAATGTACCCGTTATAGTCCTCGAATAAGTAATCAAAATGTCCTCGTAACAATTCACAAAAAAGTCTATGAAAAAGTCCTCAAAAAAATCCTTGAAAATATCCCATAATATGCCACGAAAATGTCCACATAAATGAGCCCGTCAAAGTGCTAATAAATTTCCCGGCAATAGTCCTCGAAAAAGTCCTCAAAAATATCCACGTTAAAGTCTTCGAAAAAGACCCCGTAATAATCCTAAAAAAATGCTCAAAGATGTTGCCGTAAAAGTCCTCGAAAAAGCCCTCGTAAAAGTCCTCGAAAAAGTCTTCGAAAAAATCTGAGCCTGAGGCTTCACCGAGTAGTGGTACGAGCTCTGAATAAATATCTAGCTAACACCTATGATGAGTAATTCGTTAACAGTAGCAGTCCCTACTCCTTTATCCTATCCTTCATGATCTTGTGCTCAACTTAAGAGAGGAATAAATCTCTTAAGCAAAAGCAGCCGAATCATATGGTTCACGCTCTCCAATTATAATGTATACTATACACGTCTGTAAAGATTGATAGGGATGCTATTGAGCTCAGCTCAGTAGACGCATCAGTTTCTTTGGCACTTTGATAAACATCTGGTAATAGACGAAAAAGAGAGCCTATTTGGAAGGCCAGATAGTTTCATTAAGCACATTTCACTATTAGAAGAAATAAGAGAAAAGCGTAAGGTCAAATAACTGAATAACAGAGTCTGATTCTCCAATAACACAAAAACGTTTTAAAAACGTTTCAAACACGTTTTCTGGAAAACTTTTAAACGTTGATGACTTTTAGTGAAAAAAACGTTCTTAAAACGTTTTTAAAACGTAATATATGTTCGCGAATAATACGTTTTGAATACGTTTTACAAACGTTTTAGAAACGTTTTTTATAAAAAGGACCCCGCAGAATCCTTATAGGAAATGGCTTTCGGTCAAATTTTCTGAATCTTTGGGAAATGATAGTTCTTGGCACGTAGAACAAAAGTTCTCATGGGTCCAAACCATGAAATCCATTTTTTCTCGAGCTACAGCCCCTCAAAGTCAACCCCTTTCGCGCATATGCTGTATAGTTCGGTAAACAAGTATTGTTCTGATTGGATGTAATATATGCATATACACATGTAGTTTGAGTACATACAAGCAGTATATATATATATATCCCATCTTCGATATATCAATCATCAGTGCTACCGTTTTTTGGGGGGGGGTAGAGCTGACGATCTCACGACTCCTTCCGTTCGGGTTCCGGCTTGTCTGGTAGTCCTTTTCAGGACAACAGTCAAGTTATCTGAGCGGATTTCTACAAGCTACCGTGGTATAGCTGGTCCTGCTGTTCTCTCGGGGATAGTAGAACTGACGATCTCACGGCTTCTTTCGTTCGGGTTCCGGCTTATCTGGTAGTTCTTTTCAGGGCAACAGTCAAGTTATCTGAGCGGATTTCTACAAGCTACCGTGGTATAGTTGGTCTTGCTGTTCTTTTAGGGATAGTGGACCTGACGATATTACGGTTATTCGTGAGTTTCTTTTTTTCCCTGCCAGTAATCATATAATTTAAAAAAATGCGGTGCTATGTATGTAATAGAGAGTTCAACCCACGGGTTTTGGCATTCATGAATGGTGACGACAATGCTAATAAACGTCAAATAGCTATTACTAGACGAGATGAGCTTGACCATCCTCCAGAAGTTCTGGATCAGAATTCAAGGATCTGCATCAATTGTAATCGCATGATCATTGAAGAAATGAATATGATGGATGCTGATCCTGGATTTTTGCGACTGAATGTTGTCACGCAAACAGCATCTCAGACTTGTATCATTTGTAATAACCTAAATGAGATTCATAGATTATCATTAGATTGTCGGATTCAAGTATTTATAAAACGCAATATTTATATACCAGATAACGTGCGCAGTTGTGCGCATCACCTTGATAATGATGGCTTATTTTTCAATATTCTTTTGTTAGGTTTACAGTTCATCAACAGACCTTACATTATCAGAGGACAGCAGTTACAAGTCTTTCTTCAAGGACTTAGGAACGTCGCACTTGATAGGGGAACAGGTATAGACTACGATAAGTTGACTGATGAGGAGTTTGAGTGTTTGTCCTCAATCAATAAACAACAGTTTGAAGAACTCCTAACTTACTGTGATCCTGTTGTTCAAAATGGAAAGTTGAGACACGTCGGCAGGACAGATTTATTGATATTCTTATGCAAAATGAGGCAAGGCCTGAGCGATGAGTTTTTGAAAGTCATTTTCAACCAATCAAGTAGGCAAAATGTTAGTTCTATCATTGATTATGTCAAGTCCTCGTTGCTACTAAGATTTGTTCCAGAAAATATCGGGCCTGGATCTATAACTAGGGAGCAATTTGTACATCAACATATAACAGAGTTTGCAAATGAGCTCTACAACCCTGAACCTGCAGAAAGAAGAGAAATAGCCGTGATTGACAGTACGTATGCCTACATTTATAAAAGCTCAAACTTCCGCATGTTACGACAGTCATACTCTCTTCACAAAAACCGTCACCTTTTGAAACCAACCCTAGTAGTAGCGCCGGATGGTTATATCCTAACCATTTTCGGTCCATATTTTTCAGATGCTCGAAATAACGATGCCAAAATTCTTCGCGAAGAGTTCGAGAGAGATGCTGATGCTTTGGCAAACTGGTTCCAAAATGGTGACATTGTTTTAGTGGACAGGGGCTATCGCGATGCTGTACCTTTATTGCAACGTCTCGGTATTGAACACAGAATGCCTGCTCTATTGCAATACGGGCAAAGACAGCTTACGACTGTAGATGCAAATGATTCTAGGACCGTAACGAAAAATCGCTGGGTAGTTGAAGCACGTAATGGTCATATAAGAAATATTTTTAAGTTTCTGGCCCAGACAATAAATCTGGAGTACGCGAAGCATCTTAATGCCTATTATCGTATAGCTGGAGCTATCATTAATAGATACCACCCTGTTCTTATAATGCAAGGTGCAGATGCTGCACAGGCCAGAGAGATCATTCGAAGATCAAGGATGCCCAATGTTGTGCAAGCGAGAGTAGAGGTAGAAAACTTAGTTCGGAGAAATGGCCAGTGGCGAAGATTGAACCAGGAAGCTGTGGTAGATTTTCCAATATTTGATTTGGACTACCTTAGAGATCTGACTATCGGCACTTACCAAGTGAATCTTTCACCTTCATATGTTCAAGATAAAGTAGTAAGGGATAACGATGAGGAATTTCAGCTTGATCAAAATATTAATGAGCCAGGATTCTTGCGTATACGATTGTATTCAAGATTCCGCAACGCTACCAGGCACCAGATTTTTATATCATATGCAGTCCAAGATGTAGACAATGAAGATCGTCAGAATGACGAAGATACAATTCTGGGCTACTATTGCACTTGTCAAAGTGAGGCACGTACTCTAGGTACATGTGCATACGTTGCTAGTGTATTGTGGTATTTGGGATATGCACTGCATCAAGAAAATATTAGACACCCTGATGATTCATTACTGAATACTACATCCGATGCTGCGAACCGAGGTAATCAGCATAATGAAATAGACATAGTGGGTGAATAACTATGGATTAAAAAACTAGACACGTCGTGTTCTTTTTTTTTTTTTTTTTAAGAAACGCACACACCGACCACCTATGTGTATAGTGTATATTGTCCGTTTCTTTAGGTGGAGAAAGCGTTCGAAAACTCCACCTCTTAGCCTTGATTCCCTGCAGAACCGACGTTAGTCATTACATCACGGGGGAGGCCGCACTGAAACCTCATTGATACCAACCTATATGTACCGGCGAACACCCAGTGGGAGAGGTAACAGTTTTGCCATAGTGCAGGGGCGACACTTAGGCTTGTGGAAATTCGTCATCCCCGAGGCACCCTCTCAGTCGAGATGTCTTCGGCAAAAACCGCAGCCCAGGTCGGGATTCGAACCCACGACCCTGAGATCGTGAGCCCGGCACTCTACCAACAGGCCATAGCTGTCCCGTGTGTGTGTGTATGTGTGTGTGTGTGTGTGTGTGTGTGTATATGTATATATATATATATATATAAGCATGTATGTACTCAGACTTCATGTGTATAAGTATATATGTATGAATATATGCATATATTACATCCAATCAGAACAATACTTGTTTACCTAGCTATACAGCATATGCGCGAAAGGGGTTGACTTTGAGGGGTTGTAGCTCGAGAAAAAATGGATTTCATGGTTTGGACCCATGAGAACTTTTGTTCTACGTGCCAAGAACTATCATTTCCCAAAGTTTCAGAAAATTTGACAGAAAGCCATTTCCTATAAGGATTCTGCGGGGTCCTTTATACAATAGATCGGTATCATAATACGTTTTGAAAACGTTTTAAAAAGGGTGTCACAACGTATCATAGAAAAATTTATACAATAGCCCAGTATCACAATACGTTTTGAAAACGTTTAAAATTTTTTTAAAATGTTGTCAAAATGTATTTGGATACCGGCCTATTGTATAAATTTTTATAAAAAACGTTGTTAAAACGATTAAAACGGTTTTAAAAACGTTTTCAAAATATTTTCGAAACGTTTTTAAATAGTTTTCAAAACGTATTCTGATAGTTCATTGTATACGTTTTTTTGGAAAACGTTTTAAAAACGTTTTTAAAACGTATTTTGATACCAGGCTATTATAGAAATTTTTCGATAAAACGTTGTGATACGTTTAAAAACGTTTTTAAATCGTTTTCAAAATGTATTATGATACTGGCCTATTGTATACATTTTTATGAAAAACATTTTTAAAACGTTTTTGAAGCGTTTTCAAAACGTATTACTCGCGGACTTGTATTACGTTTTAAAAACATATTAAAAACGTTTTTTTGACTAAAAGTCATCAACGTTTAAAAGTTTACCAGAAAACGTTTTTAAGACGTTTTTAAAATGTTTTGTGCTATTCGGGATTATTCTTTTAATAACGTTTTTGTTCTAATGTACGATTCTGGATGTAATAAGAAAGTGACGTTACAGAAGGTAAGAAGGTTAGTTATTTACCTACGCGCTCAAATCGAAAAGGCGTTATTATTTTAACGAACCTCTGCTTACCTCCTGACTAAGACCCAACCTTTACCTTCGCGACAGTATTTTAAACACCATCGTGTCTAGCCATAACATAGCATCTCGTCTAGACAGAATAAAATAATAATGGTCGAAACACCATAAAAGCGAAAACTAATTACACTTAAAATACTAATTAAGAAAATTAGTGAAATAGAACCAAACTTTGCGGCAAATAGGGAACCTACGTTTACAGAATGTCTCGAATTTCTACATCAAAGACATCCACCCACCGAAACAAAGCAAATTACTCGAGTCGAGGAACTACAAAGATTAAAATTTAATTTACAACATTATATTGATACCAGCCCCTTGGACATTTTATGCAAATATGACCTAATATTCGACATACTCATTGAAATGACTAGCATAAATTTAAATCGCATAAAAAATAAAAATTAGATAAAACTGAAATTCCCGTACTTGAACTCATTGAAAACCAAACAGCTTACGAAACGGCACTGAAAATTCAGACACGTACAACGCGCCCACTTCAAACTTATCTATGACTAATACACCATCCGCTTTCAAATCACCAGAGATGACTCATAATAAATCGGAAAAAGTTGATTTCACTCCAACACAACATTTTGCCGCAACAAATCAAATTAATTTTTCAAGTAGCCCATTTACCGCATATTATACTCTGGGAGCTTTCAGAATAGGACTAATAAATTCCACACAAAACATAGTATCACCAATAAAAAATTTTAGCTTAAAAGATGCTGTTAATTTCGTACTAAAATTCGATGGATTCAACATACTATTACACTTATTTATTGACGGTTGTCGGGAGGCACGCATCATAGTCCCAACAGTTGATGAAAATGATCTCGCAAAGTTAATTAAAATCAAACTAAGCGGTGAGGCACTCAAAAGCGTACAAGGAAAAACATTTGATAATGTAGAACAATTCATTAAATTTTTAGACCTGCTATTCGGATCAGCAAAAACGTGTAATCAATTAACAAGCGAATTAGCGACCTTAAAGCAAATGTGTGGTGAATTATATTTTCAAATAGAGTAAAAACAGTAGTTGGCGAACTTTATGAAGCAGTGGTAAGGGAAAATCCTAACCATGCCGAATTTGGAAGCTAACTTGAAAAAGATATAGTAAAATTCTTCATCTGCGGTTTATATTGGCTTATCAAGGCGCCTATGGGGGAAGCTCAAAATTTAAAATTAGCCACAACTATAGCAATCGAAATTAATCGAGAATTCAACGTACAGGAACCTGAAGAAATAACCGAAACAGTAAAAGTGTTATCCCAATCTAAAGTGGAACCGGTTCGATTAATGAAAACGGAGGTCAGTAGCACCTGCCAAATTTGTAATAAGTCAAAACACACAGCTAAAGACTGTTGGTATCGGATACCGCAGAATCAAAATCGGACTCAGGCAACTATGCAACAGCAATGGCAGCAACTCAAACAACAACCGTGGGCGGAGCCTTGCGCGGCAGCTAGCACAGTTCCCGCTCCAACCAGCAGCCACAATGGGCCGCCCAAAATCAAGTGAAAACAAGCGTACTAACTAATTTAAATTCGCAAAAAAAATCGCAAAAAGCAAATCCCTCGATTTGCAATTATTATAATGAATCAGGTCATTGGAAGAGTGATTGCTAAAAACGAAAACTTAGAAATCAACAGTTGCAACAGGCGAAAAAAGACAAGGGTTTCCAGACATATGGCGCTACCCGGGAACCCCTGCAAATATAACGTCTCAAATTTCACATGCACAAAAAAATCATCCTTTTACACCTTAACAGTCAGTCACCCACAATACAGCTTGAAATGAATACAACAAAACAAAAATTTAGCTTCATCGTTGATACCGGGGTATCAGTCTCACTACTAAAAATTTCAAGCAAACCACACGGTGTCCACATATAGATAGTATAGACAGATACGAATTACGAATTACAAAAAAAATAAAATAATTATAAAATAATATAAAATAATAACAATAAAAGAAAAATATTTTATAGTATAAAAAGATCGTTGTTACCTGCTATAATTCATTCATCGATTGCCTCTACCCTTGCTTTCTTCTACTCCTCATTTTTAACTAATTCGATTTGTTGATTTCCAAAATCTGTCTCCTTTTTTGCTATATAAATAAAGTTCCAACTACGACCGTTAGGGTCGCCCTAACAAAATTCGGTTCACGGCCGTATAGCAATCTGCCACTCTATCTTCTAATCTCTGACAAAACTATACATTGGTAAAAGTGCGTTGTAAGTTCTTGTCCCAATTCTTGTTAAGTGCAAGTGTTAGAGTCTTGTGGTAGCAATAAAAATTTTATTTTAGACAATAACACATGTTGTGTAATTAAAGTCAAATTATGTAAGCATTTCATTCACCATCAAAAAAGAAATATAAGTGATAGCTGCTGTTATATGTATATGTACACATACACACACATACACACACATACACACATATATATTCATATTTATGGAGCTATTTGTTGAGTCACTGAAAAGCTTTAAGATGTTTGAAAATAACAAAATAAAAGTTCAAAGTACGCATTCATCCAATAGCTCATAGGGTTTATGTATTTTTATTATAATAATGAATGTTAACATTAAACTATTATGAACTATGAGTTATTGTATTGTTTTGAACGTAGAATTTTGATTATTATTAGATTTTTTGCGGTCTCTATTTTTACCTTTCTCATGTCCGTTCCCTTTCACTTTTTAAGTTTTAAACACATTCATATATATGAGAAAAAGAGATAGACGTAGAGACAAATTGTAACTTTGACGCTATAGTCAAATATAAGTGAGACAAAGACAGAAAAGTCAAAACAGTTTAAGATTCTGACATTCTGTTTTGACGAAAATAAAATAAAAGCAAAGTGGATTAAGGAAAACGTATAAACGCGAACAAAAGATCTATTTATACGTCTAGCTAACATCGTCCAACTTTAGTATCTATTATTTATGGTCGGTAGAAATTATTTACCGTCGGTAGAAATATAGATTTTTATTGTCTGATCTGACACCTTAGTGAGTACATTTAGATTAAATATGTTAATAATAGTCTAAGCAAACTTCAATTTGACGTAATTCTCATAAATTAATTCAAAATGATGTTGAGTATAATAGAGAAATCGTGGTTAAGTTATATTTAATTTAAATTATGATAAACTTGATCCAATTTTTGTGGGTTATCGTACATTCAGTGTACCATGCAATCTATTGATGTTTAAAATAATGATAAAAGATTAATAGACAAGTAGAAAAAATTGTTTATAGTTAATAGAGAATCTATTGTGAATTGGTTTCTTCATGAATTTATTTCTTGCTTTTATTTATTTTAATACAATTGAAACATTAATGTAACATGTTTAATAGATAAGTATTGCTTGAACAAATATTAAATGAATCTATTACATGTAATTTGTTACAAATTGTGCTTATACATCACAGCATAATAGCTTTATATAGATATAATAAATAATGCAACATCAGTTGACTTTGCGCATTTAATGCATATTATTTTTGTTTCTATAATTACTGTTTTATTATGTGATCATTCATACAAATACTTTGTTTACAATTTTTTTATTTTTATTAAACAAATTTATGATATCTATTATTAATTATATTATTTAACTCATATTTTTTTCTTATCATTTTATCTTGAAATTTATTATTGAATTGTATTGTTTTTTAGGATACTCATACGAAATTTGCATGAGATATCTTAAATTTTATAACAGTTAATCGATATGTATGAAGAATCTGAAAATAATTATTTGGAAGGAGATGTTGTATGGGTAAAACTTGGATCATTTTGGTGGCCAGGACAAGTTATAGGATTAGATAAATTACCTGAAGATGTTCAAATTGAATTTAAAAAAAAACCGATTATTGCAGCTGTAAAGTTTTTCCAAGAAGATTCATTGTAAGATTTTATTTGAAAGTTATCAATTAATTTATTTACAAAAGTAACACTTTATTCTTTTTTCTAGTGAATTTGTGAAGAATTATCATCAGATTTATAAATATAACTGTGCTCAAAAAGAAGATTTCATAAAAAAAGGATTAGGTATTTGATCTATATAATTGTTGTAATTGCAATACTCATGTATTTTTTATTTTTTTTTAATCTTTTCAGATAAATTTAGAATAAAAAGTAAAGATCACTCAAATTATATGATAAAATTTCCCAAAGATGTGAAAACTGCTGAAATTTTAACCAATGGAGACCCAAACATTTTATCAAAACAAAAATTTAATCCAGAAGAGAAACCTGATGTATCTGGATTGTTTGGAGAAAAGAAACTATTAAGAAAAAAACGTAGCCATGAAGAAATGATAAGAAAAAGTAATAATTTTATGAAGCCTAATATAACTCATCAGCGATTTATTAAAGAAAATGATCATGAAATTCGAATCAGGAAGCAGCCAGTTAATCAATTGTTAACATCTAATAATATTCCTCAAGGAATCTATCCATGTGAGTTGTGTGGGTTCACTGCAACTCGGGTTAATGTGATAATCTGTCATTTAAAAAGTCATAGATTAAATGGTCAAACAGATACAACAAAAAAAAAGGAAAAGACTAACGAAGTCAGATCACATAAAATAAATTCACCGAAAAGAAAGTACATTCAAAAATCAATTACTAAAAATGAAATATCCAGATTAAGTAAACGTAAGCAACCTAAGACAATGGAAAGTGTTATGAAAAAAAAAAAATTAGATCCAGAATTAAGAGAAAAGTTATTGGCAGATTGGAATGTAGAGTCTGATGAAGATGATGTATCAGAAATTACAAAATCAATAGAGGTTTCTACAGATAATTTTTTTGAGAAAGAATCTAATCAAAGTATTATAAGTAATACAGAAAATTCCAAAATTGAATATGATAATGTAGATCTTTTACATGAGTCAAATAAATTGCTAAAGGAAACTGATAATTTTTTAAGATTCTCTATAGAACAAAATAATGCTTCTAACCCAGATACAAATGATAATCAAGAACAAGACATAGAAATCTTAGATCAAATCTTACCTGTTGAGAATAAAGAAAGTTTAAACTTCCAAAAAACTTTGTTACAAAACTCTTGTCCAGAAAATGAGAATAAAAGATCTCAACTGTCATGTTTTGATTTTGAAGAAGACGATATACCTGAAACAAATGCATCAAATATGAAAAAGATTGCAAGAGGTAATAAAATTATGTCAATCAAAAAAGAAATCATAAAAGAGTTTGAATTAGGCCATGCCTCAAAAAAAGTGAAGGCTTTTGAAAATGCCAATGATGAACTGGACTTGAATACACAAGATATTCATTCATCACTTAGTAAAAAAAAAGAAATCAAATTTAAGAATGAAAATAATACAAGTATGATAAATTCGACCAAATTACCACAGCTTATTGAAACACAAGTTGAAATAGTAGAGATATTAGAAATTCAAAAGGAATATGAAGAACAAAATATGAAAATTGAACATATAACAGAGCAGAATAAGAATACAAAAAAAGATGAAAATAAAAAATTAAATTATAAAGATGAATCTATTTTGAAAATGGAAAATTCTGAAAATTTTAATGAAGATAATTTCATAAAAGAAAAGAACACTATTGAAGTACAAAGTTTTTTAGGAAATTGTGAAAGAAACATTTCTAATCTTTTAAATAGAGATAATGAATGCAGCAATAGTTGTAGCAAAGAACAATCATCTTTAGGTAAGGCAAATGATTTATTCTTTTAAAAAAATTTTTTTGGGTACAAATATGTATTAAGTATTTATCTAATAAACTGAAAAATCATTTTTTTGTTTTAGTTAAATCTATTTGTGATAGAAAAACACATTCTGATATACAAACACATGACAATGTGGCTCTATGTCTTAAAGATGATTTGAATATTATTGTTAAAAAAAGATGTAGGAAACCTAAAAAAATCTTGAAAGTTAACAATACTACATTTGATTCTCTTCCAGATTGTGCTTCTAAAAAATATAATCAGAAACAAAACAGTTCATCTGCTCGTGTGGTGGATTCTACAAATAATGAGATACAAAATACTGATAAATTGTTACCTGAAACTTATATAACAATTAATGATCAAAGTGAAGAAAGTAATAAATTGCAAGCTAATACTGTTGAAAACAATAAAAATGTTCAAGAAGATTCTATACAAAATTACACCAGTGTTACAGAACAGAAGTCAACAAAAAATGATTTACACAATAGTTTTAATTCGTTAACAATTAAGAAAAATGAAAAAAATGGCAATGACGGTATATCTAATGTTTCCATTGATGACTTTAAAAAATTTGAAAAACAAACAAGTATTCTTGACAAGGAATCAACGAAAATTAGTAAAATTAATAATATAGAATTATTACCATCAGAAACAATACAAATTAAGCAAATTGATTGTGTGACAACTGAAATAGTTGAAAGAAATAATAATGCTGAATTAAATATGGTGGGAATCGTAAATGAGGTTACTTTGCAGATAGAAAATATTTCTGCAAAAGATGATTTTACTTCATTATCACTATCTGATAATAATGAAAAATTATGTAAATCAAAGGAAGAAATCCAAAACGGTAAGAAACAAAAGTTAAAAAATTTTAATGAAATTTATACTGTACTGACTAATAACAAATTGCCATTTGTAGAATTAGAGCTAAATCTTGAAAATTCGGAAAGTCGTTCTTCAAATTCTTTAAATTTAGAGAAAGATGATTGTAGTGATAATGAAAATAATTCTCAGCAAGGGATAACTTGTTCAAATGTTAATGAAAGTGTTCTAAAAATTCAAGAACCCAATGGAAATTGTTTGAACGATAACACTGTGCATGTAACAAAAACTTTTTTTGCCTTTCCAAATTTGAATACAAATTTGCCAGTTACATCTACAGAGTTGAAAAGCTCGTATAATATAAAAGGTTTTGATGATACAAGAGAGAAAACAAGTGAAAATCAATTACTAATGGAAGATAAAATGCTTAATCAATCTGCACACACTACTCATCAAACCTCTGAAATTAGTAACTCAAGTTCATTTGATGAAACAAAAAGTTTATTAATAATATCTGATATAGATGTAAAGCAGTCTAGTAGTTTATCCGTTGTAACATCTTCATCAGTACTGGCTGACGATAAAACTATTATGCCTGTTAAAAAACGAGAAAAGCCAAGAATTATTGAAAATGTTGCATTAAAGGAGCCTATGATATTAAAAACTAAAATAACAGAAAAACATTTACGAAATTTTAGAAAGCATAAATTCCAAATAGACAATTACAAATCAGATGCAATCCAAAGCAATTCTAAATCAGTAGTCACTAAGGCAGAAAATGTAATACTTAGTACTGAGGATGAATTATCTACTACAAGTATTAATAAAATTGTCACACCAACTAATACAATCAACAAAGTCAAAATATTTCAAACAGGGGACAGTTCACTTGCAAGGCTAAAAAAAAGTATAAAAAATAAATCATTGATTCCAACTTCAGCTGAAGCATCAAAATTGATATATTCGCATAAATATATACAGCAAAATACTAGAAATCTAGTAGGAGTAGATTTAAATATAGATTCAATGCCCCTTGTGTTGAGTAAAGATGTGTTAACACCAGAAAGTATTGAACACATTCCTGTAGTGATGTCGACAGCATCTTTCGTAACATCAGCAAAACAAAAAGATAACTTAAAGTTATGTACAAATGATTCAAAAGAAACTAATTTAAGTATAAAAAAAAAAAGTGGCACTCCCACAATTTTAAAGAGTAAAAACAAGGTTAAACCAATGATCACTAGTATAAAAACTATAATGCCTCCTTTAACTTCTACAGCTTCTAAAGGAGGTCACAGGATCAATACTCAGACTCACAAGTCGTCATTAGGTGATCAAAAAGTTTTTGGGAAGTATGTAATTGTTCAGATCTCTGGAAGTCAACAAGCGTACAGTACAGATCAAATGACAATACCTACATGTAAAGATTCTGGAAATGCACAAATTGTTCAACAAGGAGGAAAAGTAGTAATTTTAACATCTCCTCAGTCACCGAGTCAGAAAATTTTACCTATTAGTAGTATCAAAGCACTAAGTAGTGGAGGTGTAAAAAAAATGATAATACCTCAACATCCTCAACAAATGGGTAAGTTAACAAATTGTCATAATGTTGGCTGAACAAAAGTTATAATGATACCTTAAATTGCAGGTTATAACTTAACTCCAAATGCTTTGGAAACAACTGATCAAAAATCAATTCCACAAAATATGATATCAAAAAGTTTTTTGATGCAGTGTTCTAGTACTGTTACTAAATCTGGGATAAATACATCATTTCAAAATGCTACTACAAGAAACAATTTTACTGAAACTAATGCAATTAGTTCCTCAAACAAAGTATCTATTAGTTCTAAAAGGTTTTTTTCTCAAAAAATGGATATATTTAAAGATAAGCCATCTAAAATAATTAAATCTTTTCCTACTGGAGCCCTCATACCGTCACAAGGGCTTGTTTCTAAAGGAACAGTTTTAACTCCTATTACTGGTTCACAAGTGAAAGCACTTGCTGCAAGAAATATGAAATCAAATAAGAAACAACCTCAATCTGTTGAAATAAAAACAACATCAGAAACAATTCATAAAAGCCAGAAAATTTCATCCCCATCAAATTTATGCCACAGTGACTCAAATATATCACGTAATATGATCGTGCTACGTCAGAATAAAAATAAACAAATATTTACATCGGATAAGAGTACAGTTGAAGAAGTTACAGATAATCAATCTATTACAGCACAAACTTCATCACAATTTTCTGTAAACATACATAAAAAAAGCAAAATTTTACAATCAAATTTTGAACAAAAAAATGATGAAAAAAATGTTAATTATTCAGCTACACTACAACAAAGTTTACCAATAGAGAAAAATGAAAAAATTTTTCAGCATAAAGTATTGAAGGATAATTATATAAAAAATGTTAATACAGAGTTAAATAAAAAACTTGATCATGTATTAATTACTAGTAATGTGGTGACAAGCAAAGATTTAGAAAAAAAAACTTTAAGTACTGTACATAAATCATCGGCAATGTCAATTTCCACTACATTATCTTCTATAATAGATATTCCAAAAGTGCATCACGATCAATCAGAATCAGAAAAAGTACCTCATGAAAATTTCATTTCAAAACCACTTACTTCAAAACAAAATAATGAGCAGGCAAACACAAAAAATATTTTGGTTAGTAACGAAGAAAATATAGAGAAACAGAAAAATTTTTCAGAAACTCAAGTTGTTGCTTTATCTGCAGATAATAGTTGTAGTTCACAAGCATATGTTTTAGTTACAGTTGATGAACAAGGTAATATTTTTTCAATAGACAATAATACTCTTATGTCAATAGATGCAATATCAAATGAAAAAAGTAGAGCTTTATATATCGATACCAATTCTTTAAATGAGTCAGAAAATGTAAATAATATTATTTTACAAATTGAAAATGGATCTCTAACTAATTTGGAATCTAATTCCGAGGAACCTCCTCAAGTAGCAATGGAAAAAACTTTTCCAGTATCAGATATTCCTCAAACTACAAATCATGATATTTTAGCAGCTGCACTTGCCAATACAGATTTTCACCAAGAAATTGGAATGACAAATACATCTTTGTCTATTAGTAATTTTACCCAAACTAGCTTGATCAATCAGACAATCTTACAATCAACTATTGTACCACCTACTGAACCAATATCTTCTCCACTGGTGTTAGAAACCTCTTTAACTCTCAATCAACCTATTATGACTCCTTTGGAGATACCAAGTAATTTACCCAATCAATCTGAATTAGCAATTCCTGCAACTAAAACTACGTTGTACTCAAATGAATTGAATACTACTGTTAAAGAATTATCTACACAAATGTCTGGATTTTCTGTGCTAATTAATAAAAATGAAGACACTGCATCTACCAGTCAATTAGAAAATAAAACATTATTAAATGTACAATGTGACGTTAATATCTCCAGTAACATGTGTAATAAAAAAGATGAAAATATATCAAGATTATTAGCAGATTCTTCGTGTCCTACTTCAGAAGAAATAAATTATAATAAAAACCAAGCAACATCTTCAGTGACATTAATTGATGAAGCACTAACAACTAATAATTTATGTAATTCTTCAAAAACATTAATCATTGCTCAAGAAAATGACGAAAATAATAAATTACAGGTGAGTGAATTTCTAATCGAATTATAGAATTCAAAAAGATGTTTCTATAATTTATATATATGTGTGCGCGCGTGTGATAAAAAATAATTCCTCGCCACTGCCGCCGTGTAGTATCAATATCTCGGTTTCTAGCCGATAAATGTTGGCTTTCTAATATAATACCTCAGTAACCTAACATTTAGCAGTTAGAGATGGAGCAAAGTTGGCCTTCCAGGTTGATAACCCAATAACTCTCTTCCAACTTTTTACATCTAGAAATCGAGAAATGTTCGGTTATTGGGTTATTATCCTAGAAAGACAGCATTTAACCGTTAGATTAGGGGATATCGATACTGTATGGTGGGATTATGGAATTTATTTTATCATCATAGGTCATAAAATAAATTTAACTTTATAGCATCAATTTATAGCATCAATTTACTTCCTATTAGTGTTTTTCACTAAACTTTACGTATTTTGTGATCTATATTATATGTTTTAACAATCGATACCATAATAACTAATGCATCTGCTGTGTCTGAGTACAATCTATTTTAAGATAAATTTCACTGCTGACGCCATGTATTATTGATATCTCCGTTTCTAGCCAATAAGTGCTGGATTATTGAGTTATTGGGCTTTTTGGATAAATAACCCAATAACCTAACATTTCCTGATTTCTAGATGAAACATGCTGTTGTTGGCAGTACAAGTCAAAGTTCTATGTAAAGAACCGTTCAATCAATAACTCAATAACCGTGTGGCGTTTGGGGTTGTAAGTACAACATACGCTTTAACAGCAGATTTTATTCATTATAACGAGTGTTACAAATTGATAATCTTAATAAATTATACCAAGGAACGATTTTCAGTCATACAGTGGTTACCGAGATGAAGAGTTCTTGGTATACCATGTTATAACGTGTGTGAATTAACTCCGCTGATCATTTGATGCCGATGATTTCCCAAGACATTTTATTTATCGCCAATACTTTAAATTTTGTAAAAATAGTAAAACTATTAGTGTGTCTAGTCAATGAATATTCAGCGTCTATAATCATTTGTCTGTTATGACCGATAGATGCGACCGTGAATATTCATGCCATGTGATGGACCTCTGTAGTCAAAATTTCATGATAAAATAATGTTATAATAAGTGTAAAGTAGCTTGGTTATTTATTTCGTTGACCTTCAGCGCTATTTATGAATGCTATTCGAAAAGATATATTTTTCAAGGAGACATCAGTGAAAAAATTTATTCAATATAGATCAATTATTCTGAAAGACGGAGTCACGATGGCTTAGTGGGCAAGAGGTTAGATATGTAAAGATTTTTAGAAACGAAATTTTTATACACTTGATTCCGTGACACTTGACTTGACTTTTAATCCAATTTCACACTTAGGATTATAGCATTATTGTTTATTTGAAAATTTAGTATTTGCAGTTTTATCAAAATAACACAGGCTGACAAATTACACACCCGAAAATCAGACTATACTTCCTCCAAAGGAATTTGGTACACTGAATTCAAATCTGGCATCTAAATTATTCCACCATGTCAGGTTTTTGAGATATTCTGACCAAAAAGTGCAAAGAACATATTTCTTGGACAGATTCGACCATATGGCATCATGAATAATTTTTGTTTGTAAAATCAAATAAGACTATCATAAAATAGTACTTTTACCCTTTAAAACAAGTTTTTCAGATTTAAGATATCTTACTTTTTCATAAAAATATTGTTGGTTGTATTCAAATATTTTAAAGGTTTCGTAATAGTACTAAATCACACCCAAGTTTCCAAATAACCATATATAGCAATGTGAGGCTATAGTCCTATACCTTTAAATCCTCATGTCTTATTCTTCGAACCCTTTAGTATGCGAGGCTATAACCCTAAATCCGATAGCCCTTAATCCTATAACCCTAATTCTCTTAACTCTTGAGCCCTGTAGTCTGAATGGCTGTAAAACCAGATTCTATGGCCCTAATTTCTTTAACCTTCGAGTCTTGTACCTTGCGATGATATAACTCCATACCCTTAAATTTTAATTTCCTTATCTTTGAGCTGTAATCTGCGATGCTATAACGTCAGATTCTTTAACTATAATACTAATTTTCTTTATTCTTGAGTTCTGTAATTTTTGACGTTATAACCAAGATCCTTTAATTCGAATTTTCTTAACCCTCAAACCCGCTACTCAGACATAATCTCTAATATTTTTTTGTTTAAGCTGTATTAATATTACTATTATAGGTTTCGAAGTTTAAGGAAATTAATGTTAAAAGGTCTAGGATTATAGCGTTGCAGATTACAGATGTGACATCTTGATATGAGGAGCTCCGATTTGGGCGTTCCAATTAATCGATAGATCGAGAAAATCGGTGCTGTGTCCGGCCATCTTCGCGTCACTCCCGAAATTATAAAGGCTCGAGCGCAGGTACCGCGGGCACTCAGTCGTTCAAATTCTCCGCCAAGTCAACGTCGAGTCGTCATAGAAAAACCTGACACCGCTTTAACCTGCCGAACGACGTAGAGTGGGGATAAATGGACAAAATTTTTGTGACACGTTAGTTCTGCATCAAATGTAATAATTTTTTTTATAATCATCAGGATGACGTCTAGATTATCATGCCACTGCTATAAATTCCCAATACGCAGAATCCAAACTCACAAACCTCAAATCCATTTTTGGCGATTTATAAGATTTTGTATTTAACGAAAGATAGTATTTACAAAAGAAATAAACTCAAGTTTGAGGTTACATAATAAGTTTATTATAAAATTAGTATAATGAAGTCTGCCATCTGTTATAGCCGTATATTTTTTGGAATGATTGAGAGAGCAGGCTTCTATAACGAAGTTGCATAAATAATATTTTTTAACATAATTAAAATATTTCCATTCTCACTTTACTTAATTATAAAGTATAATCTTCTGAAGAGTTTGAAATGCAACATATATTTTTAACATTTTTATATTTAATCAAATTTATAAATAAATATATAGTTATTTTCATTAAATTGTAAAATTATTATTTTACTTATTTTTAAGTCTTCTTTCATATTAAAAACTGTCTTGCTCGCTTTGTGAGATCTTTATGATTTGTAGTTTTTATTTCTCTTAATGAACTTATAATCGGATCAGATGTTATTAGTTCAAAGGTGATTATATGTTCATTTGTTTTCTTTCTTTGGTGCATTTGGCTAGGCTCTGATCTCGCCTTTTGAAGAATTTTAGTTTTCGCTTCTTAAGGTTCTTCTGAGTAGTAGATTATTGGAAGATCTTTCATAATGTCACAACCGTGAATCAGAATTTTATGTACAGATGGTGGCATTTTGTACCATGGATAAAGCTGGATACATTTTTTTGTTGTCGGTATAAAGAACATTTTAATTTGCCTAATTCTATTTCTTTCCGTATAATATTATTTGAAGAATAGTATATACATTTTCTATTAAACTATAATCTATTCCAATTAGGTGTGATATACGTTCAGCATTTTAAAAGAAAATACATCCAACATTACCGGTATGTTTGGTTCCAGAACCTCGCTTTACAATATCAATACTTAATTGTAGCTCATTTTTTAAAGATTCTTGAATTGTTAATTTTATAGCGTTTTTCAATATTTTATTGTTTCCTTTTGCCACTCCTTGAAAATCTAAATTATATACAGTACGTATTCCATGAAGCGGATCCAACTATGTAGAATAAGGAATCCTAGTTAATAATATTTCTCTTTTCATTTTTATGTTAATATTTTATCAATATCATTTATTTGAGTGGGTTGGGCATCACAAATGTTGCAGGAAGTAGAAGATCTTTGATCTGTAATTGCCTTATGTGCTTTTCCATCAAGCATTGTACATTTGGCATCAAACGTAACAGTGAATGTCGTCTTTTACTTTGTCTAACGATGTACAATGATCTTTGTATTTTTTTAAATAACTTCTATAGTTTCTTTAATAAATTGAAAACAAATAGGACGACAGTATAGAACTGAATTAGGTTTTTCATTTCTCAACGAAATTGTATCAGCAGCTCGCAATTCAAGTGGCACTAAAGAAGTTACAAAAACTGATTCATCAGAAGGAATTACATTTTTATCATTACTAAGACCATGACTATCTTGTACATTGTTGAGCTGAAGCTCCATCTATACCCTATTTGAATAAGAAAATTAATTTTTGTTGTTGTATACGTTCAAATTTTGTTTTCAACAAGTGTTAAAATTCTTCGAACTGTGTGATCTAACAAAGAAAAAATATTGACACTAGCTCCTGAATCATTAATTTCAATAATTTCAGGATATCAATTTACTTCTCTTGATATCTGAGGGTTTGGGTAAGAAGGATATATTTTATTTCGAAACATTTTTAAATTATGTTCTCTTATTTTATTGAAGCTGTCTTTTGTAAGACAGCTTCAATATCTATCCATAAACATAGCTAACGTTTGATTTCTTTGAAAATCATTCACATTAATTACGTTCAATTTCATTTTTTCCGATTCTTCATTTTCCCCTATACCAATATATTTTTGTTTTACTGCAACAGCGATCTGTAATTCTTCTTGCGTATGCTTTGTAGCTGTTTCCTTTGCTCGTCTGTTTTTAGTTTTTATTGAACTTTTCTCAAACGATTATCGTGGATGACGTACTTTCATTTGAGGATGTGAATCATTAATATTTTCACTTGTTTGATCTTTTTCTGGCGTGTTTGATACATTGGGCTCATTTAAAGTTCGAATAAAATCTTTCTGTAAAAATTCAGTATATTTCTTTTTCAAACACGTTCCTTCTTCGTAAAACATTATTCTATTTTTTCAAATGTTGGTTATAAAAGTCACTGAAATTTGCTTCCTTAAACTATTTACTTCACTTTAGAAAAATTATAAATTAACTTTAACTTTTTAACAAGCAAATCGACATCTTGAGATTTATTTGTATAATTACTATCCTACATAAGTTTACACAAATATGCAAACTCAACTTGAAAAGGTGACTGCGACATTT